TAATGTCAGTGTTTGAATTTATTGTGTAAATCATTTAATATCTGTTCCGCAACCTTCAGGGAACAAACACTCTAAATCTACCACGTTTACACTGGATTGACAACTCGGCAGCGTAATGAGACATTTAATCCTTGATGCCAGATTGTAATGACTGATTACAAACSACAGAAGAAGAAGCACAAACGAGGCTCTGGGAAAAAAAAAAAAAAAATCTGATGTGAATGTTTCAGGTTCAGAAACCAGCGGTGAAGCCTCGACGGCTCCGTCCAGTGAGGATCACAAACCTCCAGCTGTCTCCTCTAAGAAGGAGCCTCCTACCTACGCTCCAGGTGAGAGACACTGAGACACAACATCTCTTCTTTCTATCCTGGACTCTTTTTTTTTTTCACGACACAAATCATTTTCTTGCTTTAACTTGTTTTTAGTCGATTGTTTTTTATTTTGTGGTTTAATTGAAATCGTCATTGAACGATATTAATGTGACATGAGTTTCAGTTGATGTGCACAGTCGTTTCAAAACCTGTACATTTGTACGTTTACTGGAGTAAAGAGGTTGAGTCAGTACTTCTACTTTTACTTGTGTGTACTTTTGCCACCTCTTGTCTGAACGGGGCCTCAATCTTTCCTTTACCACCTCACTCCACCTCTAACTAAATTAACCCGCTAACGTGCACTAACACCACTTCTTCCTCCAGAATGTCTCCACATACACAATGTCTGTTTCTGCCGACAGGAAGTCAAGAGGAGCGCTGGCAGCTCCAGATCGTGGCCAAAGGCAGAGTCACCTGTCCCAAATGTAAGAGTGTGAGCAGGAAGACGGTGGAGGGGCTGAAGAAGCACATGGAGAACTGCAGACTGGTGAGCAGACATTAGACACGATCTAAAGCTCGGTTCACTCCCGACGTTAACATGTGTCCCTGTGTGCAGCAACCATTCACCTGTCAACACTGTGGGAAACAGCTGAAGTCTTCCACAGGGATGAAGTATCACATCATGGCCGACCACAGCCACCTGGTAAGAGCCTGCCTCTCTGACTCCTGCTGTGCCGAACCTTCAGGTCCTTTCTCTAACGTTTGTCTCTGTAGCCTTCAGCAGAAGAAGCCAAGGACCTGGACGATCGGGCCATAAAAGACAAACTGCGTAAAATCCTGAAGAGACTGGGCAAATTAAAATGCTCCAAAGAGGTAAATAAATCATAAAATAAATCACATGCTGCAGACCTCTACCAAAGATGATCGGCCACTTTATCAGATGCTTTTGTGGAAATCAATCCAGGAGTCTTTGCACAAACAAAACAAACCCAGAGGAAATCATAACCCCCTTGGCCGAGGTTAGAAGTAATATACGACAGGAGATATGATATTTTCTATATTTCTATGACATGTTCTTTTCTCTGTCTCAGGGCTGTACTGCTGCTTTCACCAGTATCATGGGCTACGTCTACCACATGAAGAAGTGTGGGAAGGAGGAGTCCGAGCTGGAGAAGCTGTTGCTGAACTGTTCTCACTGTGGGAAAACATACAAATCCAAGGCTGGTCTGGAATACCACCTTAAATCAGAGCACACTCCAGTGAGTCAGGTTTTTAATTTGACTCAGATCAAAGAAACTGAATCAACATAAATAAATCTTAATCAAACGCCTTAAAAAGTCTGAACTCTGTCAAAATAATATATAAGTGTGATTAGGTTGGTCTTTTTTTTTAAAGTTCATTAAACACTACATCGTTGTCTTAAATAGATTTTCCTAAATTCAACCTGTTGAACTGTCTCCTTCCTGTTACCCAGACGCCCGAAAAGACTGAGGAAGACGAGGCTCTGAAGGCCCAGAGGGAGGCCAACCCGGAGAGGACGCCGAGCGGCCGGGTGCAGCGTGCCTCGGCACAGGTGGCCAACTTCCACTTGGCTGAAATCGCCAACAACGACTTGCCCAAAGACTGGCCCAAGAGGAAGTTTCAGTCCGACCTGGTGCCCGACGACAAAAAGGCAAGAGGAGATTCGGTTTGTGTGGAGGAGAAGTGGAGAATAAAGGGAATCCTCGGATATATCTCTACACTATAGAAGATTATTCATGCAGTATTATTCTCTCTGTGCACTTAATGAACCTTTGCACTTGAATTAACCTGCGTCCTGTGCTTCGTAGTTAAAATACGCTCGACCAGGCCTCCCTGCCTTCAGCCAGGAGGTGCTGAGGAAGTGGAAGAACGAGGTGAAGCTGCAGAGGAAAGTCCACTGTCCCAACCAGGTAGAAAACGCTTCACATCTCCAGAAAATCATTTATCGAGTTATTTAAATTTCTTGCTTGTATGGAAGTGATATTATTATTTGTTCTCCGTCTTTATTTGTTCGTCTCTCAAGTCCAATAATCAGTCCGTGTTGTTGGTTTCACATCATTTCTGTCCTCAGGGTTGTGGCTGCACCTACACCAGTGTGTCTGGGCTGAAGGCTCATCTGGGCCTCTGCACCAGGGTGAGTTCATTCTGGTCCAGAATAAAAATGCATCCTAATACACCATGACGACCCGAGTGCAGATGCAGGTTTTCATTATTAAACTGAGCTCAGCATCAGTAATAACCACCTAAAAACATATTGTTGTCCAAGTCCAGACTACAACACAGACCCAGAGTTTTCAAACTACAACGGAACCACCAGCGTTTCCAAGCGTTTTAGGCTTTCAGACATTCTGGAGAAGTGTGGACGGCAGACGTGACAGTAGCAACAATGATGCGTGTTAAAACTAGTAGTGTTGGATGTTCCAGTCCTCAGGGATCGTTCACAGATTTCTCATTTGATCCCATTTCAGGGCGATTTCGAAGCTGGAAAATACAGATGTCTTATCTGCAATAAAGAGTTTAACTCTGAGAGTGGAGTGAAATATCACATCAACTCTGTGCATTCACAGGTAACGACACAGTTCACATCTCTCACTTTGTCTCTTAATCACGATCAATTACATTTCTGTCACTCTGTGCAGACGTAAATGTTCACCGCTGTTTTGAGTTCCCCTCTTGACGTCTTGTTTTTCCTGCGTGTGGACAGGACTGGTTTGTGACGAACAAGAAGGCTTCCAAAACGTTTGAGAAGTTCCTGAAAAACCAGCACAAGGAGTTAATCCATAACGTGGACAAGCAGATTGTGGATCAGTATCACCAACACCACCTCCAGCATCACCCGCACCTCCACTGCCCCCATCACCATCATCACCATCACCATCAGCAGCAGCAGCAGCAGCAGCAGCATCATCATCTCCAGCTCCAGCCCATGCAGCACCCTCTGCAGCCGCTGCATCACCTCCAGCACCAAACCCAGCTCCTCCATCCAGAGCACCAGAACCTCCCTCCGCAGGCGGACGCCCAGCTCCAGCAGCCGATCCTGCAGTACACCCCTCTGGAGCCTCCTGCGGAACCGCTGTGGGTGGACATGGACCGGAGTGGAGCGGTGCACGGGTCGGAGCAGGCCCCGCTCCAGATGGAGCTGGCTGACGGTGACAAACCTGGAGAGGACAGCAGGGAGATGGTGGAGGGTAGAGAGGGAGGAGGGGAGAGGAGGAAGGCTGACGGGAAGCGGAAGGATTGCTTTGCGTTCGGCGGAGGTGGAGGCAGTGGCGTCAGCAGCTCATCCAATGAAACGGAGGTGGAGCGGCAGGACAGGCAAAGACAGGTGGAGCAGTGGAACCTGAAAGGACTGGGCGCCATGGAGCCGCACCCTGAGGCCGGGAAGCAGCAACGGAGCACTTAAACACGTCCAGGAAACAACACTTCTGTCGTCAAACACTATCGTGCACCGGAGCTGGTTCTAACAGAGGTAGGGAAAGACACCATCTGAAAGTGTCCATTAAACAACAACGGGTTTCCTCAAGACAAACAGGTGAGAAGGCAGCTAATGACAGAGCTGCTCTCCTGAGGTTTTCGAGCTTTTCGGTGATGATTGGAAGGAAACGTCAAGGTGTCAACGTGGGTGGAGACTTTGTGCTTCTCTGTATGGAAATGTTCGTTGGTGTAAAGCTCAGAGAAATCCTAGCTCTACCGTTTATCTGTGTTTATATGTAACAGATTCTTAAACGTGTCTTATACTTTTAAAAGGTTTTGATAAACACTCTTTGTCTTTTACGTTTACCTGAAAGGGAAGAAGTTGCTCTGACTTGAAGAGAGGATGCTTCAGTATTTTTGTTAAACTGGTCCAGTCGTTCTCTCTCTGAAAACATTTGTGCCTCTTGAATATGATCTTTATAATTTCGCACGACTCATCATCACCTCGTTTAATCTGATCCGAGGATCAGTTCTACCTTCCGTCCTCATTCCATGGGATTAAGTTTGGATTGGAGTTTTGACGGATCAAGACGAGCCGTTTTACCGTTTCCAATTTTTATGCTAAGTGAAGCTGATCGCCCCCTGAATCTGGCTCAATGCACAAATGACTGGGATAAATATCCTCATCAAAATCACGGAGAGAAATGAAATGGCTTTATCTGTCAGACTAGAATGGCAGCCAAAGAAAGGGAAAGAAATCCTGAACCTGCCCCCTGATGCAGAAAAGAACCAAAATGTTATGGCTTCTTCCTCCACACATTCGCATCCTCCCAGTCCCGTAGTTTATCGTTATCCTGACTAACAAACGCAGATGGAAACACAACTTCCTTCATGGTTTCCATCAAGAGGGCTTCTTTCTAAATGTCTTGTTTGACCAACAAAACAAGTTTTTAAATTTTGTATAATATCGATAAAGAAAATCATTAAATCTGATGTATTTGATCTAATCGTGAAGCTGAAGCTAGAAAACTTCAGACTTTGTTAATCAATAATCAAAATAATCGCCCTCCTGCGATGGATCAAATGAATTTATCTTATTTGTTTTGGTTAGGGATTAACTTTAACTTTTCATTTTGTAAGCCGTTAAACATTCCATGTGTTGTTCACCAACAAAGACTCATTGATCTTGTCACAGTGAAGGTACGACAGTTTAATATGAAGGATTTAAGGATTTAATATGGAGCGTGGAATATTTAACCGATAGCATGTAGCCTAATGTTTATATACTCTATCTGCAGTCGTGGCGTGTGCTTATGGATGGTTGTCATTTGTTTGACTCTATTTATTTTTTTCTTTTCACATTTTGTTTCATTTATGTTTTTGATTCTTCGTTTCTCTCCTGTTCTGCACCTCAGTTTCCTTTAACTACAATAATGACTCTACCCTTTAATCTGTGAATCTGTCTTCAACAAACTGTGTTCATGTATTTTACTGTTTCTCTTTCTGTTGAAAGTGTTCGACCCTTCATCGCTCCATCAGATGCCTTTAGAAAGATCAGCCTGTGTCGTTTAAAGTGGAAAAACCTCCTGTGGTTCATGGGAAGTATTTCAGGAAGCAGGAGTTGTTATGTTATGAAGTGGTGGAAAACACATTCATTCTTGCTCAGTGATTTCCATTATTTTACATCAAGCCCAATAACAAGTCAAGTAATGTTTTTCTTCAGGCTTTGTTACTTAAAGTTTTTGTGGTAATCCGTCCAGCATCCCTAACAGAGCTCAGAACAGAACAGCAGTTCACTTAAATTCAAGCTGCAAGAAATCACACACACTCATAGAGGTCAGTTCTCTAAATGTGCCTGATATTTTTCGTCAAGATACATAATTTATTCTCTGGGAAAATTCTCAAGAAAGTCATAGAAATTCCTGGATCCTCACCAGAACTCAATAGTTTCTCCCCATTTGGTTGTCCTGGTTTTCTTACAAACAAACAAACCCATGAGCAAACTAAAGGTCAGAGGTGAACACGTAACCTCCTTGGTGGGAGGAGGAACATCTGACAACACCTGTGACCTCCTGGTTCCCTCTGATCCTGAGTGTGACCACTGACTCACTGTGTTCTCTCCTGTTGAAATGCGTCCCATGTCCTTTATGCTTGAGACCAAATCTTTATCACCATGCTTGCACTTTGCTCTGTTTGATAGCACAAAGAAAAGCTTGACGTGAAGAGAGAGCAGGTTTATTTCACAGAGCACCTTGGATCCCTGACCTCATTTTCTTTTACGTGAAATTATACTTTGAGATCTGACATTTAATGACTGAAATGTCTTATTTCATCGGATTAACTAAGGCTCAGACACGTTAGTTATGATAGAACTACTGAGACTTTTACATTTCGTAGTACTTTGCATAGTACAGCAGCAGCTTCTGTTTTTATTGAGGCTGGAGCACAGTTCTATAATCTAAATAAAGTAAAAACTAGATTGTCACTCAGTAGAGTTCATACTTCCTTCAAGGCCCAACTGTTCCTTTATGAAACCACATTTAGCGGGAAATTCACGAGATCCAGACTCATTGATTTGGTCTTGACCTCCTGAACTAACGTCTTTTGAAAAAGATGGCCGTCATAGATGTGATGTTGGAGCAGAAGTTGTGTTTTTAAACCACTGACAGTGAAGAAGCTCTGTGCATCACATGAATACTGAAATGAATGAAACACTGTCGTCATGTCTTAGTGCCTCATCACCAACATCCATACAGATAATACATATATATTGTCTAGACCAGATTTAATTAAGATTCAGTAATAGAAAGCACTCTTTTTTTGTGGTATATAATTTCTATTCAAGT